CCATTGGATCCTCAACTGAAAGGCACAGCGTCTCTCTGCCACCTGTCCTGAAACCCACCAGTGCTGGCCTCGTGAGGCCCCTCGTGGAGAGGCAGCTCTGCCAGCGGCCAAGCCAAGGGAGGGAAGGCTTGTCCTGGAGGGCCAGGCGCGCTGGGCACGCTGAAGAGGGTAAAACCAGGTCAGTCCCCAGTGCTTCTGGAAAGCGCCACAGGGGTGGCCTCCCTAAAATTCAAGGACGGGACCGAGCAAGGTAAGAAGCACATGGCCAGGGGTTACTACGTCTGTTCTGAAGGATGAAAGCTCCTCACCCTCACCAGCTGCCCAGTAAGCTACCAAAGCCCTGCTCAGAGTGAAGGGCCAGACCAAGTTTGGCCTCCTCCCGCCAGAGGGGCTTATCCGCCCCCCCTCACTCCTCAGCTGGCAAGCGTCCAGCACACACAGGCAGCCCAGGACCTTTGTTCTAGGCTGGGCCGTTCTTCTCCCTCATTCAGCTCCTTGAGGGCACAGTGCAGAGGAGACCCCCCCGGAGCTGAGTCAAGGAGTCGCCCTGGTGCAGAGAGACCAGCCGGGTGGCCCCCGGAGGCCGAGGAGTGCAGAGCTCGCGGGCCCAGGGGATCCCAGGGCAAGCGGGGGAGACGAGACTGACAAGCCCAACCCCGGACAGGACACGCTGAGGAGCGCGGGTCCTGCCCTACTGAACCCGGATCCGGTTTCTGGGGGCAAGGCCTGGGCGTGAGCACTTCCCTCCAACGCACTGCCGCTTAGGGATGACGTGGGAGTGAGGAGCTGACTGGGGACGAGCACAAAGAACCCACTGAGCGATCCCAGGCAGGTGTCCACCACAACAGGGACGGCCTGCATTAAGGGCATGGCAGTGGAGATGCAGAAAAGACAGAAGGAGAAGGGAGATAAAGGCCTAGTTCAGCAGAATCTGGCAAGTGGCTCAATGTGGAAGGAAGGGATGAGGCAGGTTCCCCCAGGTTTTTCCTTGGTGATGGAGTAGACAAGTGGCCCATTAACTAAGGGAGGCAAGACAGACGTGGGGGCGCAGGCGGGGCTCAGACCCGGAGGCCTGCAGGTCCGGCGCCATTCAAAGGAAACTCCTGAGGAGGGGCGGGGGTGTGGGGTGTGGGGGACCACCAGAGTCCAGGCCCAGGAGGGAGGGCTTTGTGGTTCTGTAAGCTTTAATTCCCAACTTACTGTTGCATCAAAGAAAAGAGAAGTTATCTCTTGAATATTTAGTGATACTTTCCAAGAGTGAGAATACTTTCAAGTGACCTGATGTAATAAAACACTAAATCAACAGCCTCTTAACTTAGAGTTGTAGCAAAATCAGAATAGGTCTAAGTACCCTGAAACAAGTGTTTTTGTTCTCGTGTACCCCTCAAGAAAAGGTTCCAATATTGCAATAATGAGCATACTCTCTTTCCCAGGGCCTGTCCCAATTGTCTCTTAAGAGAGAAACATTTACAAAGAATATCATTAAGGGAGGCCAAAATAGTCCCAACTCACTGCGATGCATGAATTTAGGGTAAAAAATGCTGTGCTTTCCTCGAGTCCCAAAAACCCAGTGGATTCAGAACACTGACACCATCTGTAAAACTCCCCTCACGCACAACACACCCACCAGACACACTCACCGCTCCTTGTGTTCATTACCCAACCTCAGGGAGTACTATACCTGCACTCAAGAGCAAACTAGTTCACTGCTTAGTACAATGAATTCCAAGGAATGAACTATTATTTAGCAACTCCTCCTACTCATTCACATGTGATTATGGGCTGAAAGTACACCAATATGGAACTCTGAGTGAGCAGTATTTAAATAGCATTAACAGGCTGCTACAAATCTCAATTCCTTATCTCAAGAGTTATGCCATAATAACTAATAAAATGTCACTCCTCTTTTAAATCTACAAATTTCCCCACTGAGAAAAGCCCTTCTGGGAAGATACCCAGCTGGAGGGCCCTTCCAGGAGATGTGTGCAATTGAGAGGCTAAAAAGAAATGAACAGACTGCAATCAATTTCCCTCAGCCACACCTACAGGTTTCACTTTTGTAGGTTTCCCCTCCTGACTGAAGCAATGGTTACAATCTGGTGGTTGCCATCAATGCTGAATTAGCTGCTTGCAAATTAAAATGTATTTAATGTTTTATTAACATTGTAATTCCTAAAAAGTGTTCTGAAAAAGGCTAATCCTTTTGGCAATTGCTTTTTAAATTAAAGACTTTATCATATTCACTTTGCCTAAAATAACTTCTCAGCCTGATATATGCAAATCACTCTACTTTTAATAATGTATTTTACACTACCTGCAGATAGTCCATTGTTACAAAGAAATCTTTGACTCCAAGTGTCTCAGAAAATGGTTTTTGAGGAAATTTCCAGTTCTTTAAGATGTAATCCATTTGATTATTCAACATGTTTACTTTTCACCACTGAAAATCCCTTTTATTATCCAGCCCGTGTACTGACCAACCTGATTCAATAATTTTTTTTCTAAATTAACCAGGCCTAAACACTGACTCTCAGAGCCAATGATTACCATCTTGTAACGGGCATCCCCTACTAAATTGAAAGAATCTCCAGGCAAGAGTCAGGAATCAACATACTCCTCCGTGCATCCTTGGAATAAGAAAGGAGGCCATGTGATAAGGGGCGTGGAACTTGGGATATGGAGACAGGGAGATGTAGCATCTCATCTCTCCCCAGGATGGTCCGCTAAGCCTCACAACCTTCTCGTTGGTAAAATAAAGATGACAACACACTACCTTTAAGAGTTACTGAAAACATTAAAAAAAACTTACCTAAATGATCTAGCACTTAACAAGTACTCAGTTAATGTTACATATTTTTTCCTAAGCTCTAATTTTTTTGAAACACAAAAATAATTGAAAAACCATAGTAACTCCCCTCTCAGACCCCTGGGAGCCTGGGAGCCCCAAACTGGGTCAACTGGCCTAGACTAAGGGATACCAGGATGAATTAGGTCAAGATCCCTGCCCTTGAGGAACTCAGACCCTGGTAGGAAAGGCAAGTCTAACACAAATCGGATTGTGACAAGTGCTCAAAGAGAAACATAAAGAAAGTGCTGTGGTCACACAAAGGCGGAAACAACTCATTCTGATGGGGGAGGCGAGGCCTCAGAGTAGCTGGCCTCGGAGTTGAACCCAGGACTTCCCTGGAAGGGGATGAAAGGCGAGGGGAAGGCAGCTTTTCTCAGGGAGAGCAAACAGCGTATGCAAAGGCCACCTAAGGGCCGGGGGCTCTCGGGTCAGACAGAACTAGTCACATCACAGCTCACTCTCTCCCTAGCTAGAAAACTGGGGCAAGCCAGCGATTCTCCCTGCATTCCATTTTCTCACCTACAAAATGGGAATAATAGGGTCTACTTCACAGGGAGGATTACACACCATCATAAACATGAAGTACGGAGCTGCACAAAGTCAAGGCTAAGGAAAATGGCAGCTACAGTGATTAGGTGCAAGAGTGATGGCAAACCAAGGAGCAGGAGGTGTGGCTGAACAGATTACTTTCCAGCAGTCTAAGGGTCTTACTGCCAGGAAGTTAGGATTAACCTCCGAGGACAATAAAATCACGGAGGTTAGGACAGGAGCATGAAAGGATTAAATATTTGCTTTAGAAAAAGAACTGTGGTGGCCAAGAAGGCGAGTCAGAGAAGGAGAGAACTCAGAAAGGCACCTGAGAGGTGAGGGTATGGATTCAAGTAATCTCAGTAAGATTAGATAAGTCAGGAACTCAAGAAACCTTTAAAGTAAAATCCGAAAGGCATCAAGGATGACTGCCTCTGGGAAGTACAGAGGGAAATAAATGAATAACAGTCTTTCCATCCGGACGACTGTGTGGACGGTGGTGTCACTGACAGAGAAGAGAGAAATCTGGACTCTGCTGACTCTTCTTTTGTGCCCACTTCCAATCCACTCTTATGAAGTTCAATGTCGTGTCTAGTCCTTAGGGAACAAAAGAAAGGAAACGTTCCCAGGGAGGGAGGGCCCGGAGGCTGGGACTCCAAACTCAACGTCTGGCTCTCCGGAGCACTGCTCTGCCCAGGAGGAACCCCAGCCCTTTATCTCCCCCCAGGAAATCAGCTCCTGGGCCCTTTTGATTTTCGGCCCGGTGCAGCCCGGCAGCACCACCGGCAGGGCGGCCGACTCGCAAACCTAGGCGAGATCGGCTCTGGGGGACGCCGGCAAACACACTCGAGAAAGGACTGGGCCCGGGTGACATCTGTGCTCCTCACCCGGGGAGCCAGCGAGAAAGAATGCACCCCGCCGCGTTCAAGATACAAAGTAGCAAGTTATTTTTATAAACTTTGGTTGGTTTTGACTCCCACTCCCACCCCTAAAATGGCACTTTGCTCCAGCAGGGCCCGGAGCGCGGATGACGAGGACGGGGCAGGAGGCCCGCGCCGCGGCCGGCCGCCCCCCGCCCTCCGCCCTCCCGCTCTCCTGCACCCCGGGGCCGAACTTGCCGCTGTGTGACTCTGCAGTTGCAGCGACAGTCTGCCGGCAGTCGCAGCGACAGTCTGCCGGCCCCCGCACACCCAGATCGCCCGCGGCAGCCCAGCCTAACTTTCGCCCGCCGGCCCCCGCCCCGAGCCCCCCGCCCGCCCGGCCCGGCGGCTTCCAGCCCGGTGCGCTATGGCCCAGGGCGGGGCAGCTCCGCGGCGCGGGCTCTGCGCTCGGGCCTCCCGCGGGCGTCCGGTGGGCCTCCTGCTGCCTCCGCCACCTCGCGGAGGGAGCCCGCGGGCCGGGCGGGGCAGCCGGACGGCCGGCGAAGGGCCGGGGCGGCGCGGCCTGGCGCTCCCTCCTGGGCTGCGGCCTAGTGGCCGCCTTAGCTCCCTCACCACACGGCCCTGGGCGGCGGCGCCACGCGAGGCGGGGGGCGGCGGCGGCGCCCCGAGGGGTCCGGGCGGCCGCGCGGCCCCGGCCGACGCCACTCCCCGTCCGCCCGCCGGCGCCGGAGAATGGTCTTTACCTTCATCAGCCTCCTGCTGGCCGCCATCTTGGCTCTGGTGCTGCTGCTGGCCCAGAATGCATCGCGGCGGCCGGCGCCGGAGCCCCCGCACTTCCTGGAGCGGGGGAGGGGCGGCGGCGCGGGCGGGCGAGGCGCCTACTGTGTGCGGGCGCGGTGCGGGTACAGCGCCGGCGGCCTGGGAGCGCCGGGGCGCAGGGACCGGCGGGGACCCTGCCTGTGCGGGGCGCCCAGTGCGGTGGCACTGGGAAACAGGGCCCGACACACAGTAGGTGCACAGTGATACTGGCTGCGGGGGATGGGTGAAGGGGCAGGATTATTTCAGGCACCAATCAGCGCCGAGGTGATGGGAAAGTGACTGTGGGAACCTGCTTCTCATGGGCGGGGGGGGGGGGGGGGCGGTCAGGGAGTCTCACTGAGGAAATAGTGTAATTATAGCCAACACTCACCACGAACAGCCCCATTTCACAGGAAACAGAAGCACAGTGGAGGCCAAGGGTTTGCCCAAGGTCATGCAACCCGCAAGGAGCAGAGCCCAATTCTGTTCCAGACGGGGCTGCTGGCTCCACAGCCACCACTGGGACCTGTGAAGGGTGGGGAGGAGCAGCTCTGAGAACGGAAGGGCAAGCCCATGGTCAGATGAATGCGTATAAGGAGAAGACTCTGGTTGGAGAATGGAGGATGAGGTAGGTAGGGGGTAAGAAGGGGAGCAGGGCCATGTACAAGCTGTTTGTGGCCATCCAGGCAAAGAGGTGATGGTGGTTTGGACCTCGGTGGCAGTGCAGGCAAAGTGGAGGGTGCAGCTTCAGATCATTCAGGCCTTGTGAAGGAGTTTTTCTCCATTCTGAGAGCAGTTGGTTTCCCACTAGAAGACAGAGGAAAAGAGCACTGGAGATGGATAGCCTGGAATAGAGCCGACCTCCCACCCAGAGACCTGAGAGCCCAGGCTTAACACGGGGAGAGAGTGGGGAAGAAACTAGATGATAAGCCTCATGCAATGAGGACCCTGCCTGTCCTTTATCTCCCCCCAGGGCTGGCACACAGTGGGTGCTCCTAAACATTTGGCAAATGTGGGACTTCCCTGGCGGTCCAGTGGTTAAGACTCCCCCTTTCCACTACAGAGGGCGCGGGTTCGATCCCTGGTTGGGGAACTAAGATCCCGCATGCTGCACAGCGTGGCCAAAAACAAAAAACAACAAGGGACTTCCCTGGTGGCACAGTGGTTAGGACTCCACGCTCCCAATGCAGGGGACCCGGGTTCGATCCATGGTGAGGGAACTAGATCCCACATGCATGCCACAACTAAGGGTTCACATGCCACAACTAAGGAGCCCGCATGCTGCAACTAAGACCTGGCGCAACCAAATAAATAAAAAAAACAACAAGACACATTTGGCAAATGTATGAGGGACTCCATCAGTTACTCCCTAGAGCTGCAGGGGACCTGGGAGCCTGGCCTGGGAAATGACTTTATGGTCCTCCTGTGCACTGGGCCTGGTGCTTAGTGGGCCCAGGTCAATGAAAGAACACAGTTCTATTGGGAACTGCTTCCTCAGAGGGAAGGGGACCCTGCCCTGAAGAAATCCCAAGCCAGCTGAGGAAGTGCAGTGCATACCCTTCACCTTGACATGCTAAACCAGGAATGGGGGGTGGGATTGGAAGAGGCCGAGTGCCAAGAACTAACCTTTGCTGCAGCATCTCCTGTATCCTCACCCTCATGGCAAGATGGCTCCCTGGCACCCACTTTGCAAGTGGGCACAGGCCCTGGAAAGCAGAAGGCCATAAACAAGCACACAGCCCCGGTGGGAAAGCCGCCTGGACTTTGGGACCCTTCTCTGGGTCTTAAACCTTCATTGTTCCGCATAGCAGTCCTGGCTTCTGGTCACACCAGCTCCCCTCCACTCAGCCATCCTGTTCATCCAGACCTGACCTTTCTGTGCTACCTCCCCGAGCCTCCCATCAAGAGTGACCTCTTCGGGACTTCCCTGGTGGCGCAGTGGTTAAGAATCCACCTGTCAGTGCAGGGGACACGGGTTTGAGACCTGATCCAGGAAGATTCCACATGCCGCAGAGCAACTAAGCCCATGTGCCACAACTACTGAAGCCCAGGCGCCTAGAACCTGTGCTCCTCAACAAGAGAAGCCACCACAATGAGAAGCCCATGCACTGTAACGAAGAGTAGCCCCTGCTCACCACAACTAGAGAAAGCCCACACGCAACAATGAAGATCCAATGCAGCCAAAATTATAATTAATTAATTAATTAAAAAAAAAAAAGAGTGACCTCTTCCTCCTCTCCATCCTCCTTCCGGGTTCCAGGCCCTTCTGCTCAAACTCACCACCTGCTGCTCCTTTCTCCAGTCAGCACATGTCCTGGGTGCTCACCTCTAGGTTCAGGGAGGAGATACAGGTCCCTGCCCTCAAGGGGCTTGTTACACCCCAGGGAGGCACCAAGGAAAATGACAGAGGTGTGAGGGTTTGTTGAGGCACTCAGGCTCAGACAGGGGCCCTTCAGAGGACAGGGGAGGGGCCAGGAATGGGAGGAGGCATTGCAGCAAGAAGGAAGTGCCTCTGGCAAGGCAGGGACTTGGCAACGGTATTCACACTCCATAGGGCCGAAGGGGTGTCCGGCCCTGGGCCGGACATTTACACCCTCCACTGAGCTCATTGGCACCACAGGGCCATGCGCTTAGATGTTCTGTCTCACAGGGGAGGAAGCTGAGACTCTGAGAGAAGTAGCTTGCCCTACCTCACCCAGCTGGGAAGAGGGCTCCAGGAGTAGACCTGAATGTGGTCCATGTGGTGAGGTTCTGCCTTGACCTCCCTCTGCTGGCCCAAACCCCCGAGTCCCGCATCCCTACCTGCCCACAGCCTGTGCCCTGGCCTCTGCCCACGCTGCCCCCACTGCCCAAGATGCCTTTGTCCTTCCCTCCCCCACTTGTCCCTCTGCAAGTGCCAGTCAGGCCTCAGCACATGACTTGCCACCCTGCTTGGGGAACTTGATGGCCTGCAGTGTGCTGGGTCCTGCCGGTGCCGATTCACAAGCCTTTCTTTGATGCCCCCTACCATCCTCTGTGGTCAGAACTGTTACCAGCCCCATTGAGAGGAAGAAACTGAGGCTCAAGGGGTCAATCAAGCTTTTCTCAGCCCCCTGGCCATCTAAGGGTCCAGTCCAAGTCCGCTCCTGGACTGTGTGGGGTAAAGTAAGGGCTGGGAGACTCAGCCAACCCAAAGGGCTCCCTCTTTCCCTCCTTCCCTGCTATGCCCCCCTACTCTCCCTCCTTCCTTCCATCCTTCCATCCTTCCTTCCTCCCTTCCTTCACAAACCCCATTGGAGGATTTCTGTTTAGTGAATGAAGAAATTAACATGGCACCTGCCCCCCACCCTCTGCCCAGACCAGACTGGGTGCTCAGCCAGACTGGGTGCCCTTTGATGAAGGAAAGACCGTCCCCTGACCTAGAGCAATGGCCAAATAACTGGACCAAAGGTCTTGCCACTAGTGTCAGTGGGAGATGGACAAGGCCTCGAGCTTCAGGCTATGGAGAGAGAAGGGTGGTCGGAATAGGCCCAGAGCGGAGAGGAATGCAGATGAAGAAGACGGAGGATGGCTCTGTCCTGGCAACAGCGTGCAGCTGCAAGTCAAGACACTGCTGGCAGCCCCACGGGGTCCTCAGGAGGCAGCAGCTTGGGGATTACGATGGCACCCGGGTGGCCAGAGCCCATGGACAGGCTCTGACAGCACCAGTTCAGAGCCCAGACTTGGGTCGCACGGACCAAGGCAGTTTCCTCCTCTGAAGAGGACAGTGCCAGCCTCCCCAGCTGTGGTGGGACCTCAGGCGTCAGGCCTGTCATGTGCGGGGGGGTGGGGGTGGGGTGGGCTGGCCACCCACAGGGACACATGTGTGGGGTGGGCTGGCCACCCACGGGGACACATGTGTGGGGAGTGAGGCTGAGGCTGCCAGGTGAGAGGCCAGCCCAGCAGGCCAGGGAGCCCCAGCCAGAGAGCTGGAAGCTGGCACACGCTGTCCCTGCCTGCCCGGGAGGGCGTGGACTGGCCAGAGCAGGCAGCAGGGCCCAGGAGTGGAGGCAGAGAATATATCCATCCAGGAAGGGCTGGTGCTGGGGGTGCCAGGCCTCCCACAACCTGGAGCAGGAAGCTCTGGGTGGGCTGCGGCTGAGTGACCCTTCCCTTCTGAGCCCCAGTCCCTCCTCAGGCACACAAGGACCATGACAGGCTGAGAGGGGCCGGGAGCTTGGCAGGTCTCTCTGCCTGAGATCCAGTCTCAGCTCTGGGCAGCCCTTGCTCTCCTGCCTCAGCTCAGCTGGGGTCTTCTCCCCGTTAGCACCACCCTCAGCCCCCAGCACTGGTCCACACTCCAAGTTCACTACATCCCTTTGCCATATTTGTGTTTAATGCCTGTGTCTGCCCTTGGACTGTAAACTCCACGAGGACGGAGGCCACACCTGGTCAGCCTGCCTCCGTCTTTAGTCGCGTATTCACGGAGCGTGGACCATGTACTGGCCACTGTTCTAGACGCTGAGGAGGTATCAGAGAACAGACAGAAAACACATTGATGACTCACACATAAGAGAAGTGGGCTGGAAAGCTGGGGCTATTGTGGCCACAGAGGTTGGGGGCTTAAAACTCTCCAGGGGGCTCTCAGGATGGAGCCCAGGGCCCTCACCAAGGCCTCAAGCTCTGCAAAACGCGGGGCGTGGGTGGCAAAGGAGGGATGCGGATCAGCATCCCAGGACTCCACACAACCCAGAGGTCACACATGGAGCACAGGGCTGGTGATGTGGGGCGAAGCCAGACGTGAGGGGCACGTGCCCCCTCTCAGGATCAGTGGAATCATGGGGTGTTGGGGCAGTGGTGTCTGTGCCCATAATAGACAGGAGGGTCTCTGACCCAGAGGTTCTCAAACTTGTTGCCAGCAGCACACCTTTTTTTTTGGCTGCGCCATGAGGCTTGTGGGATCTTAGTTCTCCGACCAGGGCTCGAATGCGTGCCCCCTGCAGTGGCAGCACTGCTGAGTCCTAACCACTGGAACGCCAGGGAATTCCCAGCATACCTCTTTAAACGCTATTAAAAAACACTATTCAACCAAAGTCCTCCCTAGAACC